CTTCGATCCTCCATAACATAATGCAACATTTGAGGTTCCTTTTATATACCTAAGGATCCTCTTCACATTTTGCCAATGCTCTCCACCAAGATTCCCCATGAATCTACTAATCACTCCCACTGCTTGTGCAATGTCCGGTCTTGTACAAATCATGGCATACATAAGACTTCCCACTGCTGATGCATACGGTACTCGAGACATTTCAATCCTCTCCGCTTCACTGCTAGGACTCATACTTGAGGATAACTTACGGTTGACGGGAAGTGGGGTAGAAATTGGCTTGCAATCTTGCATGTTGAAGCGCCGCAAGATCTTAAGTAAATAATTTTTTTGAGAAAGCCAAATCTTCCTATCTTTTACGTCTCGGTGAATTTGCATCCCTAAAATCTTGTTTGCTTGGTCCCAAGTCCTTCATATCAAACTCCCTAGCCAATTGTGCCTTCAATTCTTGGATTCGAGCTTTGTTAGGGCCTACCACCAACATGTCATCCACATACAACAACAATATGATGAAATCATTTTCTTCAAACCTATTGTGGTAAGTACAATGGTCCGAACTTAGTCTGTAGTATCCGAGGCTAATAATGAAGGAATCAAATATCTTATACCAACACCTTGGCGCCTGCTTTAGACCAGTATAGAGATTTGTTCAACCCGCAAACCAAGTTTTCTTGCTCTTTGAAGCCTTACGGTTGGAGCATATATATTTCCTCTTCAAGTTCTCCATGAAGAAAAGCAGTTTTTACATCCAATTTCTCAAGATGTAAATCAAATGCGAGCACACATCGCCAGGACAATTCGATTGTTGTCAATCTAACAACTGGTGAGAATATCTCGTTGAAATCAATGTCTTCTTTACGAGCATATCCTTTTACCACCGGTCTAGCACGATATCTTTCCACTTGATCATTGGCATCTCTCTTGATCTTATAGACCCATTTGCAACCAATGGCTCTGCGACCTTTTGGAAGTTCCACAAGATGCCATGTCTTGTTTTTATAAAGAGCTTCAATTTCTTCTTCCATAGCGAGTCATCCATAGAGGAGCTTCGAACCACTCACGGCCTCTTGAAAAGTTGAAGGTTCTCCTTCTTCACTTAGGAGACAATACGCATCATGACTTGTCATCACATATTGTGAATGCCAAGATGGTCCGACTCTTTCTCTTGTTGATCGTCGGAGTTCTCCTTCTTCCACCTCATTTGGTTCATGTTCTTCATGCTCCTCCTCCGACTCGGAGGAATGTTCAGAAGTCTTCTTCTCTATCCGTACTATAGTCTTGTCCTTTTCCGAGCTGTCATTTATCCGCTTGCTTTGCAGTTCATTTTCACGCAAAGACGACATCTCTGCTAACAATAACTTTGTGGGCGGTGGGATCCCACAAGCGATACCCCTTCACATTGTCGGCATATCCCAAGAAGATGCATTTCCTAGATTTTGGATCCAACTTCGTCCTTTCTTGGGTGTTGTACATCACGTACGCGGGACAACCGAACACATGTAAGGAAGAATAATCGGTTGATTTTCCACTACACATTTCCATAGGAGTTTTCAACCCAATTGTTGTTGATGGAGACCGATTTATCAAGTAACAGGCGGTATTCACGGCTTACGCCCAAAAAGACTTTGTTATGCTCGCGGTTTGCAGCATAGCTGCAGTTCTCTCTATAAGAGTTCTATTCATCCGCTCTGCTACACCATTCTGCCGAGGCGTGTGTGGAGCAGAAAATTGTCTCACAATTCCTTCTTGCTTGCGAGAATGCTAGAAAATCTCCATCTACATATTCTCCTCCATTGTTCGTCCTCAAACACTTGATTCTCCTTCGGTCTCAAGTTCTACTTGTGCTTTGAAGTCTTTGAACCGCGCAAATACTTCGATTTCTTCTTGATAGGGTATACTCATAATCTCCTCGAGTAGTCATCGATGAACGACACAAAATATTTTGCTCCTCCAAGAGATAATTCCGGCGATTCCCGGACATCGGAATGGATCAAGTCCAAAGTTTGCTTACTCCTTGTGGTGGTTCTTGCAAACTTCAACCCGTGTTGTTTGCTTGTCACACAATGCTCACGGAAGGGTAAATCGATCTTCTTGAGCCCAGGTATGAGATCACGTTCCACAAGAATCTGCAGACCTCGCTCTAACATATGTTCAAGTCTACGGTGCCACGTTACCGCCGCTTCTTCTTGGCTTGTTGACGCAGTTGTTGCATGATTTTCTTGCAAGGTGTCTCCCATAAGCACATACAAGTTTGCCATGATTTTCTCTGCTTTCATGACAACTATGTTTCCCCTCACTGCCTTTAAGATTCCTCCTTCAACATGGATCTTGCAGCCGAGGTCATCCAATTGCCCTATAAACAATATATTTTTCTTCAAGTCCTTCACATGTCGTACTTCTTGGATTGTACGAATAGTACCGTCATACATTTTTAATTTGACAGTACCAACTCCAGCAATCTCTAATGCATGGTCATTTCCCATGAACACGGATCCACCTGAGATAGGCTCGTAGGTTTGAAACCAATCTCGGTGTGGGGTCATGTGCCAAGTTGCACCTGAATCCATTATCCACTTGTCATGAAATTCGTTTCCGCCATTAGAGCTGATTGCTACTTCGCTTACCAGAATTACTCCTTCCTCTGAAGTACTCGCAACGCAACCCTGTGAGGTTGATTCTTCATTCTTCCTCTTCCAACACTCTTTCTTTGTGTGCCCTTTCTTGCCACAGTAGTAACATTTAAATTTGAAAGTCTTCTTGTTTCGAGAGCTCGATCTGCCATGATCTTGACTCCCACTTGAGCCATGTTCCATTGATCTTCCTCTCATCATCGTCAAAACTTCTGCTTGTTTAGAACTTTCTACCTTATTCATTCGCCTAGATTCTTCTTCTAGAATAGCTCACGGCAACATCGTCAAAGTGTAGTTGTCCTTCAATATTATTATTTGTAATGTTGATGATGAGTTGATCATACGAGTCCGGCAAGCTCGAAGTAAAAGCTCTGCATGCTCATTCTCAATTATGTTGAAATTTGCTGCTGCTAATTGGGCAAACAAGGTGTTCGGTTGGTTGATGTGGTCCGATCACCGATGTGGACTCACTCATCCGAAGAGTATAGAGTTTCCTCTTCAGGAATATCCTTGTGTGAAGTGACTTCACCTCATATAATTTAATGAGGGCATCCCAAATCTCCTTTGCAGAATCTTTCTCCGCAACACTGGATAGAACTGAGTCTGCCATTGCCAAGTGTAAATTTTCAATAGCATTGCTGTCAATTTCCTTCCACTTCTGATCCGTCATTTTTGCGGGTCTTCCTTCAATTGCATCAAGACAATTGTCCTTTCTCAAAATTGCCTTCATCTTCAATTTCCATAACGAGAAATTGTTCCCGTTAAACTTCTCTATCTCATACTTTGCTGCCATGGTTGTGTTTCCACTTATGCAACTCTCACTTATGAATAGTATTGTCTACTGGAACAATAGTAGTAGACCGTGAACCAATACACTAGGTAAGTTCCCAGGAAAGAGAGGTGAGTCACTAATGGACACACTTAAGTACCAAATCTTTCCTAGCCAGAACTTCCCCAGACAACAGTTTCACACTACTACACCTTTTCCAGTAACGACTCTTTTCTGATGTGGAAGATCAGATTAAACCGCAACCACAGAGCATACTCAGAATTTTACCAACACTATTCTAGTGACTAGCGCAACGGAATAAGAACGTGGCTCTGATACCACTGTTAGCTATCAGACTACTTGCATAAGAACTCAACTAAAATAGAGAAGAGAAAAATTGAATAGCAATAATAGACAAAAGTGGAAATTTTATAATAGAAAGAAAAATTACATACCCCTTCTCTAGTCCTAAGAATGACAACACTTTCTAATACTTAGAGAAGGAAAGAAATTTTGGGATGTTGAAATAAGGAGGGAGGAGCTCCTTTTATAAGAAGGAGGAGAGCCCCCCAATTGAAGTTCCCACCGATGTCGGACTTCTTTCTTCACAATTACCACTTTAAATTAATCACTCTATCTTTCATCTTTTTCCATAGCTACATGCAACCATATATAGGATACATTAATCTAAGTGTATAGTTTGCACTTACCATCACAAAAAGATTCAACCTTTCATTTTTAGGGTTCATGTGTCTCTTTAATGTCAAAACTTCCAAACCCTCAAATGGATCGATCTAAGGCATGGTCTATTTAACAGGCCCAAACGATCAAATTTCAAGATGAACATGATGATTGGAGTCATTGGTCCAAACCAAATTAACAATCATGAATACAAAAAAAAAGAAAAAAATATTTTGTTCTCATTGGGTGGCTTTTTCCCTGAACCAAAACTTCTCAAACTTCATCTCTCTTTAAGATTACTGCGAGATAAATTTGTCTCTATTTTTATTTAACTTAAAAATTTGATCAATTTGCTTATTTAAATTCCCACTTAACCCCATTAAAACTCAATAATATATGACATAATACTATAACAGCCCAAGTTTGTTGTGTATTAATTCTAATATGCAACATTATATATAAAACAATTTGAATGTAATTAGAATTAAAGTAGTATAAAAATATAATTAAAGCATATTTTGATATATATTACAAAATAAATAATGTAAATAATGAAAAGCATATCCATATTTTTTATATAATTTTTTTAATTTAATTTATTTTTCTCTCTCCACTTTTTATATATATCTCTCTTGAGTTTTTTATCCACTTATTTCACATGTTAATTACATTTTTATTCTTACTCTCTTTGCTTATTATTATTATTTTTTAAATATATAAATCATAATAACTGTTTCTTTTTATATATTATCTCTCGTTTTATATAATATATTTGGTTGTATTAAAAGTGTTGACTAACATATATTGAAAAATATATTTTTTTATACATTGGTTTAACAAATGATAAAAATCCCTATAGAAAATAAAATATAGTATTTTTTTGCTTCCCATTCTTTTGGTTCAACACTAGGTCCAAGCCCATGGGGAACCCACAGAGACCCACCAGACGGAGTAACACTGACTACAAGCACAGTTTCAACCCATGTTAAACTGTAAGAATCTTCCACCCTTTTGGATGCATTAAGTGTTTTCCAAAATGTATCAGGAAAAGCCCTGAAAGTCTTCAACTTAGTAGCAGTTGGTGCTGCAGACAGGAATGTCACCAGTAAGCGGGTTGCAAAAAACTCTCTGCTTGGGTTCTGACCAAGAACCACAACACCATAGTGGAGCAATGCAGAAACCACATTATCTTATAGGATATTTTCGAGGCTATCACACGCACAATTGAACATTAATCAATCATAAAAAAATCGTGAAGATTAGTAGATTTATAGTTTTTTTTTTCTCACTAGTACGTGTTAACTTCATCATTTCTAGCTACAAGTGAACTTGAACTTCATCATTTTCCTTAAATTTCAACATGTAAAATGGGGGAAGAGCAAAGGTTTGTTGTCTACCATATCTGAGGGAAAATCAGTGTTCACCAGTCTCTGCTGGGACTGGAAAGGCCCTTTTGCTTGAAGGGATCATTAAGTTCCTGAACAGATTGCACGTCCCATCTAGGATTAAAGTTACAGGATTCACTGGGGTGCCAGCTTTACCTCTAAAGGGTCAAACTTTGCCCTCTATTGCTGGCATTGACATCCTCACTGATGATGAATCCCAGCATTTGCTGGAGAGAATTTTGTCCAACCAGGGTGCCTGTTGGAGTGGGGAAAGTTTGAAGTTTTGGTCATAGATGACATCAGCATGATGAGTGCAAAACCGTTCGACAGTCTCCAATTTGTTGCAAGTGGGGTAAGGGGTGTGGATGAGACCTTGGGAGGGATTCAACTTGATGTGAGTGGTGATTTCTTTCAATTGCCACCAATGGTTAGTAACAAGGATTATTGTTCTCAAGGGGTGATGTATGCAATTGAGGCTGAGTGTTGGAATAGAAGTTTGGACTTGGAGGGGCAGCTCAAAAGGGTGTTTGGATAGTCAGATTATGAACTTGCCAGGTTGCTTGGGGGATCAGGAGAGGGAAGAGTGGTCCATAGAGCATGTTATACTTGGGGAGTGGTGGGTGTGATCCTTATGTTGTGCAGTCTTTTACTGCGACGTGAGGTGAGTAGGTGAGTAATCGTGGACGTGAGAACGTGAGGATAGAGAATAGAAGTACACTTTCTATCCATATTTCTATCATAATGGTATTTATTTTTCAATTGTAAAAGTATTATACTATTTATCTTGTAAATTATTTTAAATCTTTTAATTTTTTTTTAAATGTAAAAGTATTATACTATTTATTTTGTAAATTATTTTAAATCTCTTAATTTTTTATTAGTATATAATAGTTGATTTCTCTTAATTTTTTAGAAATAATATTATTATATTTTAATTTTTTTGAGTAGTAAAATTTTATTATTATTTATTGTCGATTTTGTTTATTTTTTCTCATATTTTATTTTAGTTGTGAATCTTATATAGTTATTTTGATTCCTAATAGTAGTACCAGAGTCAATGGTTCATCTGATGACCGGCTCAGCTCAGGATGATTAGAGTAGGTGAAATGTCCTTGTATCGAAAGTCTTTCGAATAAAGATTTCAAGCAAGTGAGTCTCGTTGAGTTAAACGAAGGTACAAGTAAAGTTACTACTTGATACTCATGGTTAGAAAAAAATAAGTGAGTTGAAGGAGAGATTATTGAGAATTAAGTGTGAGTTGAAGTCTCAAATTGGGTAAAAATGAGAAAGTTGAGTAACTTATAAGTGAGAAAGACCTATAACTTAATGTCTTAAGATTTTGCGTTGAAGGTGATGTCATATTCTCTTATATGGTTGACTCATATCCTATTTGTGAGAATCTTTCTGTTATTAGTCCCCCTCGAAAATACTTAACAAGGCTTTGGTCAATTGATTTTTTTTTGTTCAACTTTTGAAAATATGTGCACCTTTTATTAAAATTTTAAGGATCCAAATTGGAATTTGTCAATGGTGCAATCCATTAAGGGATCCTACCAATCAGCTTCCTTACGCCTTACATGTTTGCTCACCCTGTTGACTCGTGCACATGTCTGACTCCTTGATCCGTGTTTAAAGATGGACCGTGTAAGCACACGCGTCCCAAGGCATACTTAGTAGTCTCATTTACTAATCCATGATGTTCAAATTCTTAACTAGATTACTCTTGCATCTTTATAAAGGAAAAAGTCATCCAGGCTATCTCATACCTTAGATGCCCCTTGGTATCACATACTTTAGATGCCCCATTCCTAAGCCTCTTGTCAACAACTCTACAAAGAACATCCTTCTGAAAACTTCTCACTCTCTCCACTGTTGAGAATTTAAGTGTGAGTTGAAGTTTCACATTGGATAAAAATGAGAAAGTTGAGTAACTTATAAGTGAGAAAGACCCACAACCTAATGCCTTAAGGTTTTTGGTTGGAGGTGATGTCATATTCTATTATATGGTTGGTGATAATAGCGTTTTGGTCGTACAAAATACTAATAAAAAATAATAAACAAGTTGTTAAACTAATGGGAACATACTCATTATCATATATCATTCTCTCTAAAATAGTAAATAAGGGATGAATGAAATAGTGAGAAAAGAAATAAATTGATGCAAAATAATAAAAATTAAAATCAAATTGCTATAAAATATTAACGACAATTAAAATTAAACGGAAACAAAATTTAAATAAAGTGTTTTTAGTTAAAAGTGCACGAATCAAGAATTATTTTGAAATAAAATAGTGCAATAATTAAATTTGAAATTTCTGAAAGTGATAACTCTAAAACTAAATTACAAATCGGAATTGGAAACAAGATGAATTAAAAATGAAAATTATGCAATACTAGAATAAAAATTCTAAACAAGTAAAGAACAAAAATTAAAATGAGCACTGAATAAATAAAATAACTAGAACAAGATAAATGGGAAAATTCAATAGAAATTGTAAATTAAATAAAAGAGAACAAACCAGAAGTGCAGTAGCAGAAGATGAATTCGCCTAACAAAACACTAAACTATGAACTGGGAGTAAGAAAAGAAACTAGGAATGAGACAAAACAACAATTATCACTCCAGGCTAGGAGATTGTGATTGTGAGTTATCGTAAGACTTCTATTTATAGAAGTTTGAACAAGAAAATTTTTAAGAGACAAAACAACAATTCTCACCCCAGGCTAAAACTTCTATTTATAGGAGTTTGAACAAGAAAAATTAAGCCTAAAATAAATTACAATAAAATCAAATATTTCTTAAATAAATAATTGCAAAATCTGATTGTTGTGAAGAGAAATTTCTAGGACTGATTTGGAGAAAATAGTCTGCTTCTTTCTTATTTTGAGTGACCCAATACTGATTTGCATTTAATTCTTGATTCTTGCTGGCCTTTAATTCAGTTAGATTGGATTCTTGCACCAGTTAATTTGTTTGATTCAAAATTTCCATTTGTAACGTTCTTTAAGTGGGTTGCATAAACAAACTTGGACTTGCAAGAAGAGTGAAGTTTGACGACTTTAATTTGGACATTTCTTTCCATCACTTTGGCCCATCTCAAATTACCTCTCCTACAAAAGAAGAAAAAAGAAATATGCAATGTGGATACATGTATGTATATTATTTATTATGCTAAAATTATGTAAAATGCAACAAATTAAGAAAAACTGAATTATGTTATGCTTTTAATGAAAACATGTTAAATGCATGATTTATGAATAAAATAACTAGCTTAGAAAATGCTCTTAGATCAAGAAATAAAGAGTAAAATGACATACATCAGTTGACTCATGTCCCATTTATGAGAATTTCCCTATTGTTAGCTCCTTTCGAAATATCTAACAGTGGTATCAAAACATGATTTTCCACATCAGAAAATGCCTTAAGAGCATGATATTTAATGGAAATAATTTCTCACTGTGGACTATGAAAATGAAGACAATTCTGAGAAAAACAATTACGTAGAAGCAATTGGAGAAAGACTTGTGGGCATCACACATAATAATAATATAAAAAATAATATGGTTTAAAGTAACATAAGCTGAAGTTTGCTAAAGTGACTATCAGGAGGAAACACATATTGAACTTGATTTATTATAATGTGCTGGAATCGTCGGTAGTATCCCTAGGAGGGGTAAAATATTTTGTTTTAATGATGGTAACGATTACTCTGGGAGATTATGAGTGTACCATATTAAGAGGAAGTATGTGTTGTTAAAGTTCAGGAAAGGAAAATTCTTGGACTATGCTAATAATGTGAAGAGATATTTCATGTGGATCTCATTATCCACAATGTTATTGTTAACAGGGATATAAATATTATTTTTCTTCAAGGTGAAATTGAAGAAAGGATTGATGTGTTCTAACTAGAAGACTTAAAGAAAAAAAAAATTTGGTTTGCAAGTTGACCAAATCTCTGTACGATTTTAATCAGGTGTCCAAGTGTTAGTACAAAAGATTTGATTCTCCATGATTAACCTTGGTTACAACAGACTGAGTTCAAACCATTGTACTTATTACAATAGGTTTGGTGGTGATGATTTTGTTATCTTATCGTTGTATGTGGATGACATGTTGGTGGTAGATTCCAACAAAGTTCAAATCTAGGTTTTGAAGGCACAACTGACTAGGAAGTTTGATATAAGAATTAAGGACCAACAAACAAGATTTTAGGGATACAAATTCACCTGAACATAAAAGATATGAATGTTTGGCTTTATCATGCAACAATGTAAGCCAATTTCTATCACGTTTTCTATCAAGTTATCCTCAAGTATGAGTCCTAGTAATGAAGTAGAGAGAATGAAAATGTCTCGAGTACTGTATGCATCAACGATAAGAAGTTTTATGAATACCATGATCGGTACAAGACTAGTCATTACACAAGTAATGAGAGCGATTAGTAGATTAATGACAAATTATGGTGGAACACATGAGTATTATCAAGAGGATTCTTATCAAAGGAATATTGGATGTTGTATTATGTTTCAGAAGATCAAAATTAGTTATTAAATGTTATGTTTGTTCAGGTTTTGCAAGTGAGCTTGATGAGTTTACCTTTGTTAGAGAGGCGATAATTGATTATCTAAGTTATAGGATGTTGTAGCTCTATCTATCACAGAAGTTAAGTATATGGAAATCACCAAAACATGTAAGGAAACTATTTAGATTAAGAGGATAATAGAGGAATTCGAGCACAAACAACAACAAATTATTGTGTATTGTGACAATCAGAGTATGTTGCACATTGCAAGGATTCCTACCTTGTATTTCAGGACAAAGCAAGAGAAACCTAGCAAATGTCAATAATAAGTTTACATAGAGACGATCCTACTGAAAGTCTATTGCAAAAATAACAACATAGAAGATAATAATAATGGATTGTGAAGATTTGATTAATTTAATCAAAATCTTCAGGTGAGAGAATGTGAGAAGAGAAGTTCCACATGAGAAAAATTATATGTTGGTGCTTACTTTTTTTGTTATAAAAGGAACATAGTATTTACCTTGTAGATCACCTCAAATCTCTTGACTTCTCCTTTCTACTAGTGCATTGTATAGTAGTTGAGTCCTCTTATTTCTTAGAGAGGATATTATTATTGTTTTCTCCTAAGATTTAAAGAGGATATTGTAATTTCTTCCAGTAGTAAAATTTTATTATTGCTTATTATCGTTTTATTTTTCTTTTCTTATCTTTATTTTAGTTGTGAGTTCTTATGCAATTGCTCTTATTCCTAACAAGTTTGACGAGATCAAACCACGACATGAGCACGATCAAAATGGATCACAAGGATATCCTATACCTTAATTGTTGATATGTTCGTGAAAATGTCATTTTCGCCATCTTGGACATTAATGCACACCGGTTGGGAAATCCAAGTGAGTTTAAGTCTCATATGGAGCAAAAATGAGAAAGTTGCACAACATATAAGGAAGAAAGACTTATAACCTAATGCTTTACGGTTTTGGGTTGAGCTCATGTCTCATTGATGTTG